AAAAGGGAAGGGAACGTGAGGTTGCCTCCTTAGCAGAACTATGGAGCGATCTTGCGAAGGGAGGGGGCTCCGCTAAGTGGTAGCGCTTCTTGCTAAGCCCGCAAGTTTCCCTGTTGATTACTTGCGTTGCAATTGCGGCGATAAGTCCCGCTGCGGGGGCTGGCGGGTGTAGCTCTTTTATCTGTGCCCTTACACCCCAACTCGCTGCGTGGAGGGTATTCCCGCAGAGGAGGTTGGCGGCAGCGGGGGCCCACGGAGTGCCTCCTCGTCAGCTTGCACCGCTCCCGGTTGGCGTTGCGTATGTTTTTTGAATTCGTTTGTGTGTGGGTGTGGGTAACCGTTGGACAAGTTTTATCCTCAGTGGGGAATGTCGAGCGCAGTGGGACAAACCGTGATGGCCCTTTTTCTGGGAGTAGCGGTGTCATGGCCTCGGCCAGGCGCAAATGTTTGTTGCTTCATCTCTTTCTTCTTCTGTCTTCTTTCCTGTTAGCGTGCTTCCGAAGGGAGAGTGAGTGTCACTCACTGTCTTTTTTGCGTGTGCTGTACCGCCGCAATTGCAGTAAGAGGCCACACAGCAGGACTGTGGTAGTCTCTTTCCTGTCAGACACCCGAATAACCCCGCGGACAGTAGGGCAAAGCGGGGGTGGGGTGGGGGAGAAAAAGGCTTGGACAGTAGGGCCTCGTGCGTGTTGCGGGGGGCAAAGGGCAAATCGCACACACACGCACACACACTAATAACAACAACAACTAAAAACACACACAGGCGAGCAAAGGCAAAGGCGGCAAGCCAAACATCACACCAGGCGTATATAAATCTGCTTTGTTTGCAGTACTTATTTCGTCTGTAGGCTAGTAAGAAAGGGCAAAAGGGAAACAGTTCAGAGGTTTATATATATATATATATAGAAGACGAAAAACGGCATCTTGGTGGTGGCATCTTACGTTTGGCGAGGCACAGCCGACAAGTTTTAGGAATTTTCTTTTGAATCAAAGTAGAAAGAGAGGGAAGAGAGGGCGGCTGCCGCTCATCGTTTTTGTCGTTTTTTTTTTGTGGTCCTTTCTTTATTTCGTTTACTTGTATTTTCGGATCTGCTTGTGGACTTGTTCTCTCTCTCTCTCTGCTCGAGGAACGTGAAGAGGCGATCGACCGTACGAAAACCGGCGGGGATAACTCGGCGATGCTGTACTCAAGGTTTTCGTTGGCGCCTATCCGCCTGGTGGAGTGCCCGCGCGACGCGATGCAGGGGCTCTCTCACTTCATCCCCACAGCACACAAGGTTCGTTATTTGAATGCCCTCTTGAAATGTGGTTTTTATTCAGTTGATTGCGCCTCATTTGTTTCGCCGCGGGCTGTGCCGCAAATGCGAGATAGTGCGGAAGTGCTTGCCGGCTGCAACCGTGCACTGCTAAGGGGCGAAAATGCCCCAAAACTCTCGGTCGTGGTTGCATCCCAAGCAGGGTTTAAGAGGGCGATTGAAACGTCTATTTTGAGCACCATTGGATACCCACTTTCCTGCTGTGAACGATTTCAAGAACTCAACACGAAAAAGAGCATCGCCGTGGCTCTTGACGATATTACACAAATGCAGAACGCTGTTTTAGATGCGAATGCGGAGATGCTGTCCGGCATTGGACTGCCATTGGGCGTCAGCAAAAAGAAGGAACTGGTTGTTTATCTTTCTATGGCCTTTGGTAATCCATACGGTGAAGATTACAGCCTAGATGTTGTGGAACGACTTGCTTCCCAATTGGTCTCCATTGGCGTGCGCACAATCACTCTTGCTGATACCGTTGGTGTCTCGGAGCCGCAGATGACTTTTGACCTCTTCAAGCGCTTGCAGAATAAGTTCCCTGAAGTTTCTTTTGGTGCTCACTTCCACAGTAACACCGCAACCTCCAAAGAAAAGATACTTGCGGCGCTGGAAGCGGGCTGTGAGCGGTTTGACAGTGCACTTGGAGGCATGGGAGGATGTCCGTTTGCAAAGAAGGACCACCTCGTTGGTAATGTGGCGACGGAAACTGTGCTTCAAGCGCTGGAAGAGCGTAATCTCCTACCCGCAACGATTGGCCGCAAGCAAATCAAAGAGTGTGTCCTCCTTAAGCAACAAATATTTGGAGTCACGGTGAAGGACATGCTCTTGTCGCAAAGCCTTCATGATGAAAAGTGTTTTGCACAACTGTGTCAGGAACATTTTAAGTTGTACGATGTCGATGACAATGGAATGCTGGACTACGAGGGTTTTCGCTCAAGCATGCTTGGAGTCTTTGACGAGTTGGGCTGTGAGGCGCCCAGTGAGGAAAAAATTCGCTCAAGCTTTCATAAAGTTGATCTGCAGAATCTTGGGCGCATCACGGTTGACGCCTACATGATGGGCGCCAGGCGACTCCTCCTGAAGCGGCTGGAATTCTTTTCCAAGCTAAAGTGTGATAAGAATTGCAGTTACCACCGTGCCATTGCCGCCTAGGAGCAGAGGCCAGGTCAATGTATATGCGGTGGCGCGAGGGAAACACACACAAACACACAAAATGGGGGAATAAAGACAACGAATAAAATTCTTGTTTTTATTCCTTTGATTTTTGTTTCTGTGTTTTTGTTATTCTTCCTTGTACTGTGATTCCCCGTCTTTTTACTGCGTGTGTACTCTTTACGCTCCATTGTTACTTTTCGTTCATTTGTTCTCCTTTATCACGTGCTTTGTTGTTTCTGTTATCCTTCCGTGTAATGAGAGAGATGCATACAGTATGTATGTTTCTCTATTGATGAGATGAGTAGGTGAAATTAGAAAAAGTCGGACCAAAGTGAACTCTTTGTTTTTTGTTTTTGTTTTTTTTGGGTGTATGTGTGTGCTGTTGTTTTTTTATCTTTGTTTTCCTCGTTGTGGTGGGGGCGGGAAACAAGGAGGGAGCTGCCTGGGAGTGGTTTCTCCCTTCGCACTTCACGTGAACACATATAGATACACCCGTATATATATATATATATATCACAATAAGCCTGCTTTTAATGGCGCCACTAGTTTTTTTTTTATTCCTTGGGGAAGGGGGCCCAGCGGTGCCGATGCCGCCTCCCACGTGATCAATTTGCCATCCATACCTTTCTGTTTCTGCCTTTGTCTTGCCTCGTGGGCGTTTGGTGGGCCCTTCTTTGGTTGTTGTGCTACGGCTAATAAGTGGCACCAACTCCATGAAAAGAAGAGCATCAAAAAAAAGATATTGACGGCAAGGAGCAGAAAAGACAAGAAAGAGTGATAGACACCTGAGTAAAAGAAGATAACTTCACAAAACAGAATCTACCAGATTGCGAAGAGATGTTGAGAAATAAAAATGAATGTATCTCAATCGTGCGTTTTAACTCTTTATTAATTTTTTTTCCGCTTTTGCTTCTGCTTCTTTGCTACTTGTTTTTTTTCTTTTTGATTTATCCATTCTTGTTCCCCCTCGTGGTTTTGTTTCCCCGACGCTGCAGGCACCTTACACAGCTAATGGTTGGGTTTTCAACGGCGCGAGAAGTAACAATTAGCGGTAAAATCAGTGGTAACCCTTTACTTTGCCTCTCATATCTGCGCCTGCTTTTCAACAGTGTTATGCGTCCACGTGTGTGTGTGTGTGTGTGTGTGTGTGTGTGTGTGTGTGTGTGTGTGTGTGTA